TTCTTTGTAAAATAGGATGCCAAACAGGTGTCTTAAGCTTCTGATAGGTGTAAAGCATTTTTTCCCTTAAAACGCTCCCTACTCTTCCACAAATAGGAAAATATGGGCAACAATTCCTCTCCAGTAACCTCATGGTATCTTCATAATCATAATCATCCTAATATATAATTAATAATATATAATTCATAATCATTGGAGTCATTGGCTGTTAACATAATTTATAAACAAAAAATATGGTTCTTGGCTTGGTTCAGAAAGGTGGTTTGCTTTGATCCAAGCATTATGTGACATTAGAAAGGTAGCTAGATCCAGCTTCTGGCATTGTAGCTCCTGCTGCTTCTGCCACCAAGTCAGCCCAACAAGACTGAGCTCAGAAGCTAAGCAGGGTCAGGCCTGGTTGTACTTGAATGGGAGACCTTCAAGTTATACCAAGGCTGTAGGCTAGATTGGGAAGACAAGGGCCATCCCAGAGGAAGTCAATCCGCACAATTGTTCAAGACAACTGCAAACACGTCCATGAAATCACCAAGTTTATCAAGGTCATATTATCAGCTTTGACCTGAAGGAGACTTTGAACCTTCCACCAAGACTCAGAGAACAAAAATAGCCCCAACCAGAGAACATATCTCAAACTTACACCAGCCCTGATCTTACCTGTATGGCTTAATACACTATGGCTACAATTTAAATAAGTATAGAAGTTATGAGTCTCCCATACAACCTGTTCATCTATAAAGTTCCAGGCTTGTGGCTGCACACTGTGGTCAAGGGACAATTGTTGGCTGCATTTCTAAATAAACCTATTTGTCATCTATGCCACTGACCACAGCGTTCAGAATGACTTCTTAAGAACCTGCTTGTGCATGTTTTACAGTGCACAGAAATCCATGTCATTTTGTGGGATGACTTCTAAATATTCTGTTCATAAAGTGTGCCTTTTGCATGCATTTTCCTCTCAAATACCTGTTTTAAATTTTCCCAAATATTGCATTGAATTTGAAGCCAATAACCATTTTCTGCTTTTTCATAAAAGCAGCTGATCCATACCCTGGCCACTAGAGGGAGCCATTGTATAACTCAAAATGAAACAAGCATGTTCTTTACTAGGGTAAATAACAGAGTGTTGTAGCAAAGCATTCAAAAGAGGTGTAAAAACTGGCTTTGCAAGGCTTGCTCTGCTGCTTCAGGAGCTACCCCTGATTAGCTTTGCATGTGTGTGCATACATAGCCACTTTGCTTCCCTTGGGATCTGGGCGAAAACGCTATATGTCCATGTATATCTTTGTAACAGTTGAGCTGAACTCAAAGGAAGTTTACTTTTTTATTCAAGAAATATAGGTAAGAAAGATGCCAGGCTGTGAAAAGCAGCCAGGCAACTTTCCTAGAAAACGTTTGTCCAGACTGAAGAAAAACAACAAGTCCTGGAACATAGGCCAGAGGTGTTTGGGTTCTTCTGGATCATTTGACATTAGCTAGGAACAGTCTGCCCAATTATTATTGCTGCAAGCTGAGCCAAAATGGGCAAACCTCTCACCTGCAAGCACAGAAAGGAGTAGGCATTGGTTATTTTTGCAGGATTAGAGGTGGGATACATGTGATATAGTGAAATGGGAGGTGGATCCAAAATTATTTCCAAATACCTGTTCGCTTGTTGTCGCAGTTTTCTTTGCCCTATTCGCCCCCCCCCCCTCGGGAATGATGGTCCAACCTGGTGTGCTTTTGATCTTAAACTAGAAAATCGTGGCACCGGGATTTTGTGTAACCATTGCCATAAAACGTGCAGCAAAAGAATTAATGAATAGAATCAGAGCCCCGAGAGCTTGGTGGTTAAGCAGAAAGCTGGACACGGGTTTCCCCAGTTCCGCATTCGATATTTGCTTCACTGCATTATGCCAGCCTTTCCATTCAGAACCATGAAAGTCTTGAATTAGCCAAGGTGAGATGGGTTATTATCTTCAGATTTCTCAATGAGGCATGCAAAATGGGCACATTCCCTAAATGATCCCTCAGCAGTGAATGTCAAACCATAAAGAGAAACTTTTCACAATTTAAAATCAAAACTGTATCCTGAAAAGCAAACCCTTGCTGCCCCCAGGCAGGAATGTTACAGTTCAGTTGATCACACTATTCATAACAGGACTAGGCAGCGTGTGGACTTCCAGGTGTTTTTGAATTCCAGTTTCTGTCCACCCTAGGCCTATCCACCAGCAGTTAAATATACCTGTATAGCCCATCTTTGAAATAGAGGATTCGACTTCAAGGAAAAAAATTCTTGGGTGGGTGAGACTTGTTCATCTTTGATATTCCTGCAGCTAGCAGGAATATCAAAAATATTAGGGATAAATACAACTGTCCTGATGGATCTTTCAGCTCTTTTTTGATACAACAGTAGTCGGATTTCTCTAGAAGATGCTGTAAAGTTACCAATTACCCCAATATCTCTATACTTGAAGGGTTGACTGGTTGTGCATAGGATCTGTATAAGGCATTGAAGCTCTGCCCCCCTTCTGAAATTTCACTAGGCATTACTTGCAAACTTACACATTTATTTTCAGAAGAAGTAGAAACTTGCTTACAAAAAGAAAACGAAAAAAAGGGAATCTGGGAATTGTAAGGTGCTGAATTCTGTACTCTGTGCTGCCTTCTTTGGCTGTTCACTGCCTATGGAGAGTTGTAATCCCAGCCTGCTATATGAAGAATTGCACTTCAGGTTCTCACAATAAAGGTAAAGAAAGCCACTCAATATGGGGTCATGATCCAGCACCCCTTCTGCCTCTGGCTTCTTGAGTGTGCCTTTGTGCAGCTTTTGTGTGGTGGTATGTTTGCTGTGCTCTGTGTTAGCCTGCAGGATCCTGCAACAAATGAACCAGCGTTGAGGGTGATCTTAACCTGGGAGCAGAAGGGAAGGGACGAGAGCTGCTGGTCTGCCTTTCTGTCAAGTAGCTATTGGGAATAGGAGAACTAATCTGACAGTGTCGCTATGCCAGGAGGCCACTGGGATTTTCCAATAGCCCAAGTGAACAGAGCCATGCTTTGCATAGCGAGCAGCAGATTAGTGACAAGAGAAATATGACATCTTTGGAAGATATTGGTGTTCTCTCATATTTCACAGGAAATAGTCATAGCAAATCAAAGGTATCATTAGCATAGGCATTCTCCTTTGGTGATTCGTGAATAGACCTAACCCTACAGTTTCCTCTGAGAAGACATAATTTCTGATCTGCACCTACCTGTACTGAGAATGATTACATTCATGGTCTTCTAGGGATGTTGATTGGGAATTTGAGTTGCAGCCCCACATGGAGGGCACTTGGCTGGGGACCT